TTGTTCGCGTGTTCGCGGCATAGAAGTCACGCGACGGCAAGAATCCACATATACGTCGAATCGCATTCCCGGCGAATCGGAAATCCGTGAATCTCTGCGTATTCCTGCATTCGCGCCCGCTCGTTCGGATCGCCCGATTGTTCGCGGCATAGAAGTCACGCGACGGCAAGAATCCACATATACGTCGAATCGCATTCCCGGCGAATCGGAAATCCGTGATTTTGGGAATCTCTGCGGGTTCGAGATCGTCGCGAAGAGTTAAAGTTTACATTACCACATAAAGTTCGATTCGTCGAGCACGGTTAGTTCGCAGCGATTTCTGCTGTTTTTAATTAATTTACGACGGAGAAATATGTATTTCTTTTTTTTTAATTTATCGGAACAATGTGATTATTATACAATTGTTTATTTATTTATTATATAGCGATGTTTATCCTTATTTAATTGAAAATGTAACGTTTTACATTTATTTCACTGATTGTGAAAGACTGATTTATTAGTAATAGCGAGTCAGATTGAAATTACTTGAATGTCTTTATACTGCACTTAAATTCATCGTTTCATTATCAGATGAAATATCTTTTTTTTTTTTAATAGAATCTAGAAAAATATATATAATATATAAGTTAAACTGCAGTTAAAAATTAGCGTTAAAACGCAGATTGATGGAGAAAAGATGCTCGCTGGCGATGTTGGCCGAACACCAGAGTTTTGCAAATTTTGCGAGAAGTCGGAAGAGAAGTTATGTATCTCTCTGTACACACCATTGATCTGGATTTTATTACTACGGAAGTACTTGGGGCAGCCTATTGTGCGTATTTTCGCTCATGCACACAATGCATTTTACCCACTGCCTGTTTCCGCGTTTCAGGAAGAAGCTAATAATCAGCGGACGGTATACCCGTGCAAAAAAAGTCAATTACCACATCGCCATTGTTCGCCTCCTCTACGCACTTCGAAATTATCATTGCTAATTCGCGTTATTAATTAATAATTATTTTCACAGGCTTCCCCTGGAGGCGAGGAACAACGGCTGCAGGATCGTGAAAATGGCTGTTGCAGCGAGCAGCTGCAACAATCTTCACGCAAGACTGTATTTTTTTTATTTCAATTTTTAGAATTTTGACAACTATTTATACAACTTAAATTGTTAGAATTTTCTGAAATAAAGTTTTAAGTCCTTTTTGTTCAATCGCTTCCTTCCGTTCAGAAACTGTATCTAAGTACAAAGAGTGATTGTACTTATTGTTAGAAGGGATAGATATTTTTCACTCTCCGATAATCGTAATTTATTTTGCATTTATTTCAGAATCTTTAAATTTGTTAGTTTCGCACAAGAAAAGTGATTTTGAAACTTTATAATATGCTACAGCAATTCTTATACATTTTTTTTTCATCTGATATATCTTTTACTGCTGCTTTCACATCAATTTTATTGTGATTTGATCATTTCTCCTGTTTTTTTTTTTTTTTTTTATTTCAAGGCATTATAATTTCTTATCAATCAACGAGAAAAAGACAAAAATAAGAGTGTATCTAAAGATATTTAAAGTAAGAAATTACACAGAATCTCGTAATTTACTTGAACTTTTTATAAATTTATAAAAAATACATCAAGATAAAGAAATAATGGAAGAAAATAAAAATAAATCTCTTTTTAGATAAAAACTTATTAACTAGTCGAAATACAGTTACTCAGATTAGAAACAGATGATGACTAGAGGCAATTTGAAAAGTCTTACTGTTATTAGAAAGACAATTAGCCTGTTTTTCAGAGTACAAAATGTATTTCTAGGCACAACAATCTGCCGTATCGGTGTCTTCTTTAAAGACGCCGAGCCGCAATCTCTTTTCCACAGAGGAAAAGCTTTTTCCGGTTCTCCGCGGAAATTGCGTGTGTCAGCCGGCGCGCGCGTTGGAGAGTAGTAACGCTCTCGTCCTTATACGGCGACGACCATGACGAGAGAGGAGGAGGGATTACATCAATCGACCGCCAACGTGACTCACCAGATAATAATCGATGGGTTTCTCGCGGGCCTTGCTGTAGCCCTTTTGTAGCTCGGTCTGCTTGAGCGCATGGGCGATGTGAAGGGCGCTCGCGTCGAACCTGCCGTACTGATAGCTGCCATCCCCGGAATAATTGTGATTGTACGGCGAGGATGCGCCGCCGGTGCCGCCGGTACCGCCGTGGATGCCATCGCGCTGGGACGACGAATTCGTCGCCGGCGGCGAACCGTGCCCGTTCAGGTGCCTGGCATAATTAGGCGAGTCTACATTATCGTAACTGCAACAGAAGCGTGCACACGGGTCTTCAGGGGATTGCGAGGGGAATTCACCCGGGAGTGCGGGAGCATCGTTCCTCGGCGAGGTCTACCGTTGCCAGGGATCGAGAGCAACGACAACGCACATTGACTCTTTCTCGGGACAAACGAGAGATTCCGGAATAGCCATGTGTGTTCTCTAATCTTGGATAAATAATTTTCATTGTCGTATAATATACGATAGTAAAAAGATCATTAAGTAAAAAAAGCTAGAGTTTCTTCATTATTAGGAAACGAAACTTTTATTAGAATTTTATGAAAATTTAGTTGTAGAATTCATATAAGATTGCGACTTAATAATAATTTAATTAATAATATTCAAGAAAATGTGCAAAGAGAAAACTTTGATTATTAATCTTCCAATACAAAACTGGCATATCGGATACGTTACTTTAGCTTTGAAGATAAGAGTTTTCCATATTTCCAGTTAGCGGAAAGTCTCCCGATAGCAATTTTCATGCAAATTGAATTAGTATAGCGTCTGTCATTCCCGAAACTCTAAAGTTTTAATCAAATTCGTTTCCGGTATGTTTTCGAAAAATTCTTGAGTATCATCGAAAGTAAAGATCTCGCGTATGTTTCGTTGAAACATTAAAGATTGTCTGCGAGGATTGACGATATTAATATCGACGATAACGAGATAAAAGCGAACAGTCGCGGGTGTCCTTGATACGGCCGTTAACGTCGCTCGTTACACGACGATGCCGGAAAAGAATCCGGGTCGATGCCGTCGTCCGTGGATTATGTTAACCCACATATCCATGCAATACAATCGCCATCTCTCTCCCCCGCCCCCTTCCCCATTCAGCGCGCGAGCTTGACCCATAATTCCGGATAACTATAATGGACGCAATTACTCACCGAGAGTAGAGTTGCAATTAGCGTCGCGGTTAAGTTCAACGGGTTGCAATAAGAATCTCTCACACCAGGCGCGATAGCCTCGCGCTGTTTGTGAGAATTTAGTGTATCGTTTAAATGAATGTGTTACACCTCTCGCTCGTTCTCTCCCGGGTTCATTCACTCACGCAACGGAGCCTACGCTCGTCTCTCTTTCCTTTCCCCTTCTCTCTCTGTCTCTCTCGATCTCTGCTCTTTTACCGCGCGTGATCATCGAGCCGCGAAAGGTAGGTATAAGAAACAACATTAGATTCGCTAAATCAGCGGATCAGTAATCGGACAAGCCTCACGGAGGATCTGTAGGTAATCTTTTTAAAAATAAACGTAGAGAACAATGTGTAGAAATAAAAATGTATAAATGCATATAATAATGAAAGAAATAAAAACTGCATATATTTATCTTACTGTAGTTGCAAGCGACTTGTACATTACTTTTAAAAATTAAAAATAAAAAAATAAAGAGATATATAAATGTGTATAACAATGAAAGAAATAAAAACTGCATAAAATGTTTCTTCAAAAATTCCATAAAATGTTGTTGCAGCGCCTGCAAGCTACTTTTAACATCGCACTTTAATAATATTTTTATATAAAATTCAAAAAATTATTAGCATTTCTCTACATTAATAAAAATAATTTATATATTGATAAAAGTGATCTAAATAAAAAAAAAAAAAAAACAAGATTTGAAAGTAGGAAGCCGAAGGAAAGCCACGTAGACGCCGGGAAGAAACTCCTCGCGTAACGCATACGCGCGTATGTAGGCGCGACTTTTATGAAGCGCGGTGACCATAAAAAGGCATACAAAAGATACACGTGCGTGTCACGCGGATGTGTTGTATTGAAAGATATTAAAACGGGCGACAGACAGACGAGCGCGATCGAGATACCGATGATTCTGTGACTGCAACGGCCTTTATACGAGGTGAGTACACACGTATACGCGCTTTGCTCTCGTAAGGCGTGCGTTCTCTACGAATGCGAGAATAAGATGCGCAATAATGCACGGATGTACGGCGAGCTTACGCGAGACGGTAGAGTGCAGCGCACTTCTTGCAACACCGCGACCAGTTTACTTAATCAAGTTATCGAACCTCGCGATCACGATTTCTATATTATACTGACACACTGCGATCAGATCGAATTTGCCGATAACGCAAGTGTATAGATTAGATTTTGATTTTGGATTTCTTTTAAGAAAGTTTCTATATTTGAGATTATTCTATGCAATAGATTAAAAATTTTTTTAACATTTTATTTTTATTCTCTTAAATGAACGCGAACATTTCTTCATTCTGATATCTTTTCATAACGACTTTTTCGATTTTATTAAAGTGTTAAAGACTGCGCCCCGTAAGCTTCTCTCTCTCTCTCTTTCTTTTAACAATATAATATATTATATAGCAAATCCATATATACACAATTTTTATTATTTTTATATAAAAATGATTTTAAAAAAAATTCTTTTTTTTTTATTCTGATTCCTTCTCTTAATAAGAATGTTCTTATAAGTGCAAAATCTAATAAAATTTTTGTAATAATTTTATGTAATCGCTCAACACAGTCTTTACAGAAATGAGCGCATTGGCGTTCAAGTTAAAGACCGATGCAGCATTGACGAGTGATGCAGCATTCGGTCAACTACTACGGCTTTTATTCGCTAAGATTTTATCGGATTAAGGCCAACGTAATTTCCTTACATAACACGAGTGAGGTGTCTAAAGTAAAAAATCCATAAGATGATACAGAGCCAAAGAATGCACGTACATGACTAATCATTTTCGCGAAACGGTGCTGGCGTCAAGCGAATGATTTACTGCTGGCAGTAAAACGTAGTAAGAAACAAGATAATCTTATTGAAATCTTATTGTAAATCCATAATTAAAAATATATAAATATCAAATTTGTTCCATTAATTTTAAAGAAATATTTGAATATATCATACTATTTAAAAAAATATGTATATCCGATTGTTAAAATTTCATCCCAAGTTTTATAAAATATAATTTTCCATCGATCGAAAAATAAAGTATGTATATTGTACCAAGATGATGAAGAAAACACGGTTTCGATGAAAAACGTATTGATTACACTTGTATTTCGTGCGAAACACGATTTCGAGACGTCGTGCAATTATTTCCAGCAGCGTTCGATCTCGATCGGACTCGACGAAGGGAAAGTGGAGAAATTAGAGGTAAGTTCTGCCAAGCGTGCCCTCGGTATTGTATCCCTAATATCGAAACACCAACATTAAAATTGCGTTCGATCTACATTCGCGTTTTTGCGCGAAAGTAAGCTCGACGAGAAAAAGTTAAAGATCCACGAAATATTGAGAGAAGGGCCGACGCTTTTACGCGAGATTATGTTCTCTGAATGTCATTGAAAATTGGAATACAGTGATGCAAGAATGTGGCGCGTGCATTGCAAAATATCACATTGTTCTTTAAATATAGAGAATTGCGGTGAAGAGTCTAGCTTCTCGCGTCCATTTACGATTCAAATGAGCCCATCTTTGAAGAAGAAGCATTACGTATTTAAATCTATGCAGCGTCCTACAAAATTGAATGACTCGAGTGTATTATTTGCCGAAAGAAAACAGATGCGTTCACGCGACGGGCATTTATTAAAGAGCTATTACGCTGACATTTGTTATCTTAGGATAGCACCAAAATTACTTTTAACGTTCCCACGAAGACAATAGCTCTTATAGATATATACTGTTATCTTACATTTCAGATAATAACGGTGATTTGCGCTGAAGGAAAATATGCGGCCTTGAGCTCATTAAAGCATTTAATTTCTCTAAAGCAGTTAATATCTCGGATCGAGTATCCTGAACATTATTTTCGTCATTTTTTCATTGACTCTTCTTTCTGCAGCGTGAATCAAAAATAAGAGAGAAAAAATAAATATTCTACAATCGTGATTGAAGGAAATATGAAAACTAAACAAATGAGTTGAATTCTAATTAAATCTCTAATTATTCAAGACTCTCGATTGGAAAGGCGGGATAATGCGGAATTTTTCACGAATTAATATCTAATATTGTTATCGTGCATAGTTAATGCATGGATATTATGGCTATCGTGGAATTTAAGAAGATGAAAGATGAAGAGAGATCTTCAGAAATCCCGTGCATGCAGAACCGTTAATACACTGTGATAAAAAAAAACACACACATAACTCACCAAGGTGGGTAGACGCCGCGCGGCGAGGCGCCTCCTGCCCTGATCTGCTCATTGACGTAACCGCTTCTAGGTACGTTAAGGGCGCTCGAGCTATTACGCTGACATTTGTTATCTTAGGATAGCACCAAAATTACTTTTAACGTTCCCACGAAGACAATAGCTCTTATAGATATATACTGTTATCTTACATTTCAGATAATAACGGTGATTTGCGCTGAAGGAAAATATGCGGCCTTGAGCTCATTAAAGCATTTAATTTCTCTAAAGCAGTTAATATCTCGGATCGAGTATCCTGAACATTATTTTCGTCATTTTTTCATTGACTCTTCTTTCTGCAGCGTGAATCAAAAATAAGAGAGAAAAAATAAATATTCTACAATCGTGATTGAAGGAAATATGAAAACTAAACAAATGAGTTGAATTCTAATTAAATCTCTAATTATTCAAGACTCTCGATTGGAAAGGCGGGATAATGCGGAATTTTTCACGAATTAATATCTAATATTGTTATCGTGCATAGTTAATGCATGGATATTATGGCTATCGTGGAATTTAAGAAGATGAAAGATGAAGAGAGATCTTCAGAAATCCCGTGCATGCAGAACCGTTAATACACTGTGATAAAAAAAAAAACACACACATAACTCACCAAGGTGGATAGACGCCGCGCGGCGAAGCGCCTCCTGCCCTGATCTGCTCATTGACGTAACCGCTTCTAGGTACGTTAAGGGCGCTCCTGATACCCACGCTGGATCCGTCGAGGGTCCCGGGTCCTGGTTTGGGCACGTGACTGCTACAGTACACCTCCTTGTCGTTGATTGTGTGCTGATTGTTGTAGTACGTCTTTAGGGTGAGCTTGGTGCCGCAGATCGCACATTTGAAGCAACCCGCGTGGAAGAACGTGAAGTCCTTGAGGGGACCCACCCTGTCCACCTGATAGACGGTCTGAGCGCATCTCAGACACGTGCTCTCGTAAAAGTTTGGCCGATACATGATGACCTGCTTGTCGGAGGACCACTCTGTTGACGCGCACTCTGTGCACTCTGTATGGCTTCGTCGTCCTGATCACCACTCGCTACGATCTCGCACGGCACAGTGTTTCGCTCTCGTTGCGTGCGACCTTGGAAATTAAAGGCCTCGATCAGGGAATAGAGAAATTACCTCTCACCATCGAGATAAATACAAGGCGACGCCGGCGCGAGACGAATAACCGGGCATTAGAGGCTGTTTAGAGATCGGCGCACGACTCACCTAGCCTAACCATTCTTTTCTAATTTCTCTTTGATTTTTCTACAAAAGAAAGTTTCGTCAGTCAATCTATTTCTGTTTTGAAATTTGTAAAATTTAATTCATATTTATTCCATGAGCGAATTTATTATCACGAGTTTTAATGTATCAAGAAGAAGAAAATCATAGCGAAAGATTATTTTCACCATCGTAAAACATGATTAAAATAAAGGAGAATTTTTATCTAGATATTAAATATCGTAGAAAAATAATAAATATGGTACATGTAAGTAATACATATAATGTTTATAAAGAGATGTTTAGAATTTTTAAATTTTCATACTTGTCTATACTTGTCTATACTTTTGAATCTGTTACTTTTTATTCTTATATTATTTATGGCACGAGACAATTTTTATAAAGTCCCTATATATACGTTCAATGACTTTTTCCAAGACAGGATATGAATGTGCGAGATGCCGAAAGTGGGAATCAAACGCATGTGAAGGAATTTTACGTAAGAATCAGTTTGCAACTATTAATATTATAAGTAGATTTCTCAGCATTTAAAACACGCAATCTTAGCAGTTGGAATTCGCGTTTTATGCTTCAATTCGACAATATATCGAGTTTATAATCGAATCGCACATTGTTATTGCATCCAGTTGGATTTATTATGAAATTTTTAACATTATCGGCAATTATTTTTAACCAAATACAAAATTATTTATTATTTATCTTATCACGTTACTTCAACGTCGTTTGATGCCTCGCCGGGTCTCCTTGTCTTGTTCGTTCTTTACTGCTCCTTCATAGCATTTACATGACACTCGCTCGCGAAAACACGATTAATTATGATCGCGCTGCACTTTACATAGCACTCCCGACATTAATATCGTACACGGCGCACTTTATTCTATATTGCAAAGGGAGAATACGCTTGCACGAAGTTGTATTAAACTACGATGTCAATGATGACTATACTTATCAATTAAACGCGACACTTGAATCAGTTCGATTTTATTGTACCCGATGTTTTAATGATGACTGAGAAATTCTCAAAAATTATTATCGTCAACCTTATGCTGATATTACCGTTAATTACTATTCAAGATGCGAGTTAATTACTAGTTAAGATGCGGTAATCGCGAGAATTAATTACCCGCGATGGCTGACAATCTTGAATCATTTGCAGGAAATTATAATTTATCATTTCCTAGTGTTCGTCGCGTGATCGATTTTGAGAAATAATACGTCGACTCTGATTCCGTAGTTTGATATAGCTTCGTGTACGCGTGATTTTTACGTTCTCCAGTCGTAATATAAAACAACGCACGTCGTGCGCGATTAATGTCGGGAGTACTGTGTAAAGTGTCGCACAATCGTAATTAGTTTTCGTGATTGACAGTTATGAAGAATCAACAAAGGACAAACGAGAGAGAAAGAAAGAGCTCGGCAGGAATCGGATGGTGGAACACTACGAGGTGAGAATTTTATTAACTTTTGCTAATTGATATGTTCAATAAATTTGTGAGATTAGAATAACAAATCATCAAAAGATTAGCTCATAATTATATATCCGAATTTGATTTCTTGTGATGAAGGAGGGGATGTCAAGTCAGGTTAAAGTGATCTATTCCGATTTGAGAATGAAGGTGTATGAGGCGAGCCTGAACCGCCGACACTTTCCTGCGAAATTTTGCAACGAATCATTACCAATACCTCTCGTGGTGGGCGACTAAGCAGATAAAATTGCAACACCTTTAATGACCGCAATATGCCTACGGTAACGGCGAGATTTTCCCACGTATCGTTCAACTTGCGAGCACTTAATAGATTTTTCACTACGAAATTCTCGATACTAATATATCTCCGAATCAGTTAATCTATCATTTCCACTGTTTTTTTCCCCTATATTAGCGCGCGAGATGATTATATATTATCATTTATCAATACAATTATAAACATAGAAAGCCATAACTGCATTAATAAATGGAAAGTGAATATCGCACGAAATGTCGATATATTTTCCGCTTTAGAAAGAAATAATTTCTACGATACTCTAGAAATTGTTCTTTTTCAAGCATCATTTACTTTCAAGAAGGTTCTCAGTTGTCATTATTTATGAAAATAGTGTACTGCTTAAATTAGTTAAACGCACTACTTCTTGCATCTATTTATCCGCAATGCTTTCTAAATCCTTATAATAGAATGTTATTCGTATTGCGGTTATTAGCAATCAAATAAGTGTGATTTAAGATTTTGGATCTATAAATTATGTCTCCACTTTCCCTCATCAATAAAAAATATTGTGCATTAATAATAATACGGTACGGCAAAGTTGTTTCACTTTACACAGATATTTAATCTTGATATCTTGAAATAATATCTAAATTTTTAATTTAAAACTCAAAATTCTTTATCGAGATTTTTGTAATCACAATTTTGTAAAAATTATTTATAACGAATTTTTCATGTATAATGGACAGTGAGGGAAGATGGGCATAAAAGGATAATATATTTATAATGGAAAATGAAGATATTTATATAAGCTATTTTTCCTATTTTATAATTTATAAATAATTTATTTGTATTATATTAATTAAAATCCCGTTGGGAAAAAAATTAGTTGCCTTTATACATCATAAGTAAATATTTGAAATGTATAAAATATATAAAAATATTCCTCTTATTGCAGATTTTAAATAATCCATTAAAATAATTATTCCTTTCTCTCATTGCATGGATAGTAAAATATTTGAATACTAATTTCATAAATTTGTACTCACTCTATTTATTTTTCTTTTACGGTTTACGTCTCTCATATTCATTTTTATCCGTGTTTTATTAAATCAATATTTGAAAAAAATACAAGAAATAATATTTGAAAAAGTTAATGCAAGTTTGAAAAACTTCAAATATTATTTCAAATAAAAATTACCGATAATTTTTTCAAAATTGTTATTTTAATGAACCAATTTTTGCGTTTAAAATAAATATTTTTTATATATTTCTTTATATATATGTGTGTGTGTATGTGTGTATTTCTATGAATTTCACGGAAGATAGGTGTGCGTCTGGTGTGTTTTCAAATAATAATTGATTTAAACGGAACTATTTAAGTGGCTATTTTCAATGGCCTGTATTCGAAACGTGTCCACTATAGTCGGTAAACGATTGGAACAATAGCACTTGCAACACGCTATTAGCAATGCATTCATCAAACACGACACGTGCCTAGCCTCCGGTTTTCTTTCCCTCTCTCTCTCTCTCTCACGGTACAGCGAATTGGAATTTTTCGCAGCCAATTGACCGAAGGGTCGGGTCGTTCCCCTTTTGTAGTTGTAACAAATTTTTACTGCGATGAAATCAATGCACAAATCGCAGCTGATCGCGATTTCACGATGACGCGCGCCATACCAATGGAACGTATCGGAAAGTTCCTCTTCCGAAAAGCGAGGTGCACGCACCGCCATATCGGGAGAAAGGATTTTGTACACGTCGCGACGCGTATATCGCGGTCCTCGCACATCGCGGCGAGGTATGAGCTAATTCTTTGTAAATGAGGCCACGGTGTGCATGACCTGCTCTCGCCACTGCGAGATATAATAGTTTGTTACCCCGCACACAGACGACTCTGTACAAAATTTAGATGTATTGAAAAGAGAAAAATATACTTTTCCTGCTATTATTTTTATTTAGAAATAGCATTAAGAATAAAAGATGTATCAAATTTCTATATCGAGATGTAAATATATATACTCTTTTAAATGGAATTAATGTATTATTACTGATTAGCAGTATTTTCAATTATAGGTATAGCACTGCAAGTGAAATCTCATTGAGGAGAATCAGTTAGCAGTAGTAAATGTTTGAATCAATGATACTTTTAAATAACCGTCTTATATATTATAATATTTAATTATAATATATATATTATAATATTAAATATAATATATAATATATTATAATATTTAAATATAATATATGATATAATATATATAATTCATTTTTTATATAATATATGTGTGAGATCAATTTATAATCATATATATTTTGTTAAAGAAATAGTTTGATCGAGAATCTTGTTCATTTTTTGCGAGTTTATCACATCTTACGAATAAACAAGTATAATATAATTCTGAATTTGAATATTAGTTATACAAAATCTTACTGTGTATGCCTTTAGCGACACACGGAGGAGCAAAGTGTGAGTGTTTTCATCGAAGATCAGTGACATACTCACCGATCTTAGGTGAAATCTTGTCGCTGCTTTAACCAGTGACATTTTCATTGATTCAATTAAAGAGAGTATTTCCGCGTAACGTAGAAAGAAACGAGGTAATTGACATTGATCGATTTACTTATTTTTATGCTTTACTATTTTCGCGTTATCGAATTTCCCATTATAATACGATGCATAAGTAGATACGGTCATTACCATCCGGCTCGAAATACACCGCTTCATCAACGAGAGCTAATGTTTATACTTGTTATAGCGCCGCGCCGTATATAAGCCCAGTATCTATGCCGGTAACTGCCGGCGATGGAACTAATAATGCGTAATATTGATTATGACGTAACTGTGTGCCCGATAACGCTAACAACGTCTCGCATCGAGTTACCGATGCATACGCGATACTCGTGCAGACAGGTATACGAGTCCTGTTATTCGCTAACAGAATGTGATAAATTAAATGCGTCGCGGTTCGCGCGATTCTTTGATACGTCCCCCGTCGTGCGGGCAACAACTATATTTCAATAGGACGATAAATTTTCGTAATGAAATGCTACCCGATTAACGAGCCGGACCGATCTGCCCGGTCGAGAGAGCGCGCGCGCTCTTATAACGGAAATAACACGTCTCATTAAACTAGGCGTTTTATTTTGCACGCCGCGGCTGATGAAACGCGGGAATTGTAAGATTCTCGTCAAACTTGATCAGCGCGAGTGATTTTTGCACGAGCGATCGCAGGTGTGGATGGTAAGAGCCTTGATAAGCTGATAATAATATTTCGATAAATAATTTATTTTCAAGAAAAAATAGCAGTAACCACATATATTTCCCGTATATAGTTTTTCGATAATGAATGCAATTTTGAACCAATATTTTTATTGAGATATCAGTTTCTGAACAAGATCTAATTTTAAACGGAATAAAATTTTTTTAGCATGTTGCATATCATAACAATAGCACATTAAATTACATTAAAATAGCCTCTTTTTACAACTTTAAACGTTTTCAATTTGGGACGTGATGGAGCTAATTTCTGAGACTATCAATCATCGAGAAAACTACAATAAATGTAATTATCTGCCTTTTTGTCGATCTTTTATTAAAATACAAAAAGATTTCAAGCGAAGCTTGAACAAGAAGACGCGTATTAAAAGAAACGTACATCTCTAATCTTAGACCTACTTGATAAGTGCCGTACAAGATTATTCCTTACTTCCAAGATCTATCGACAACTGGGAGAAACTTTCAGGCTCAAGTTTCATTACTTTCCATTCACCTAGATCCGTCCCTGGTCGACGACCATCCGCGAGAGTCCGCGCCTTTTGCGTACGCCGAGAACGGCGACTCTCCGTGGAATGCGATCGGAGCGGCACGATTATGGTGAATTGCATAACTCCGGAGTGAGAAACGGGCAGCCGGCAAATGCGATTGGTCGCATAATACGATCTCCTTTATAAAATCGCGCCCGTCTTCCGGCGTCATTTATCGCTCGTTAAAAGAAGAAGAAAAAAAAAGAAGAAGAAACAGGTTCGCGATGGCGCGGAATAATAAATATCCGCGCCTCGGACGAGGGAAGAATCGCGCGGGACCGAAAGAAAGCTGTTACATTTCGGAAAGTAAGAAAGAAAGCGAGACGCGTGTCGCGAACGCGAAAATTATTTACGCGCATTCCTCGCGCGCGTTGGTTTTATCGCGCGCGATAATGCCCATTCGACTGCCCGTGTCCCCATTCTCTGGCCCACCTTCTCCTAGATATTTCACGCCCGTCGCGTCGATCGCACGCGCACCGGGTCCTTCGCCATCGAAATGCGCGTGTGTCTCGCCGTGCCACGCACGCACACCGACTTTATTACGAGGTAAATCACGGGGAATGCGGCCGCGATTCGGATATATGCGCGAGGAACCCTGTTTCGCCGAGACAACGAAATAACGGGATGCGTCGCGCCAATAAGAAAAGAAATATCGCATGCGATATCATTAATCTGATAACAATAGCTCGTGTAGGTTTATCGAATTTTTCTAGCGATTTATCGAGCGTAATAAAAAAAAAAGAACATTCCATATATTATATCTCCAAAGAGTACGCGTTGTGTGCATTTATGTAATATCGAAAGATTCATGAAAACGACGTTGCCATTTGTGTCGTTCTAATTGACGCAACGTAAATTTAACGAGCGATTTAACATCAATATACCTCGGCATCCTCCGCGATCAGGATATTAAAATTATTTCCGTTTTGATATTAAACTTTCATTACAGCTTTGATTAACGAGGTAAAAAGTCAATTAAAACGCGTAAAACGCGTGACCGGTAAATAACGGTCTCTTAATTTCTTATTTAATTATGAAGATGGAACATATTATTATTCCGATGGTTAAAGCGAGACGCGTGTCGCGAACGCGAAAATTATTTACGCGCATTCCTCGCGCGCGTTGGTTTTATCGCGCGCGATAATGCCCATTCGACTGCCCGTGTCCCCATTCTCTGGCCCACCTTCTCCTAGATATTTCACGCCCGTCGCGTCGATCGCACGCGCACCGGGTCCTTCACCATCGAAATGCGCGTGTGTCTCGCCGTGCCACGCACGCACACCGACTTTATTACGAGGTAAATCACGGGGAATGCGGCCGCGATTCGGATATATGCGCGAGGAACCCTGTTTCGCCGAGACAACGAAATAACGGGATGCGTCGCGCCAATAAGAAAAGAAATATCGCACGCGATATCATTAATCTGATAACAATAGCTCGTGTAGGTTTATCGAATTTTTCTAGCGATTTATCGAGCGTAATAAAAAAAAAAGAACATTCCATATATTATATCTCCAAAGAGTACGCGTTGTGTGCATTTATGTAATATCGAAAGATTCATGAAAACGACGTTGCCATTTGTGTCGTTCTAATTGACGCAACGTAAATTTAACGAGCGATTTAACATCAATATACCTCGGCGATCAGGACGATCAGGATATTAAAATTATTTCCGTTTTGATATTAAACTTTAATTACAGCTTTGATTAACGAGGTAAAAAGTCAATTAAAACGCGTAAAACGCGTGACCGGTAAATAACGGTCTCTTAATTTCTTATTTAATTATGAAGATGGAACATATCATATTATTATTCCGATGGTTTTGATAATATCTTTCAACTTTTCATCGAAAAAATTTACGAGATTTGAAATACCAACGATATACGCAGTTTGGAGTACTTAAAATTTGTAGCGCGATGAACATCGCGATACGTCCATTGACGCTTCAGGCACGTGTCCTAATTTTAGTTCTACGACAGATTTCACACACATCCGTCGTAGATGAATAATCACCGAATCTTAAAGAATACTCTCTAGAAAATTTCTCCGATCATTCATAGAGATCTGCGAATAGATTCAATCTTGGTAATTTGCGAAGCTTATTAAGTACAAGAGGCAGATAATCAAATAGGTAAATGTGTCACTATGAAAAGTTTCAGAATCGATGCATGGTCATGTCGAATGATAAGGGCAACAGATGATTCATAGATAACTACGAATAACCGTGGCGACGCCCGCGTACGCACGTTTGCCTGAATTCCGCTGCGCGGTCGACTATCGAAAACCGCGGAATGGCGATTCCGCTCCGGGTAAAAGTGGAGCAAACGTTGTTCCATTCGAAAATGCGAATATATCTTGCGCTGATACGTACGTCCTCATAATCTTCGCTTCGTCCCCGAGCGGTATTGATGACTGGTTCCGTGACTGCCAGGCATGTCTCTCTCTCTCTCTCTTTCTCTTTCCTTCTCGACTCGTCTGGTCCTCCGGAATCTGGCTCTGGTCACCCCTATTCCGCGACCAGGTAAAAGATCGCAGACGACAACGAGCCTCGAGCACCGCGTACCGACGACCGCGCGCGCGGTATCCTCGCGGTCCCCCTCGATCCACCGATTATCTCCGCACCGCGCATCGAAATCACCAGCGAGCGCCTCGCTCCGTTTCGCGGGTCGCGGCCAGGAAAAGAATAAGAAGGAGAGGAACAGAGGGTACCGCCGAGATATTCCACCTGTTTCAACGATCGTACTTCGCGATATCGATCGCCCGCATCGATGGAACGCACGCGTCGAGGAGATCCCGCGTTTCCTCGCGTCTCTCGCGGATTACGCACGACGACGACGACGACCACTTTCGACCATCCAAACGCGCGACAAATGTATCTGACACGCTTTCGGCTTGTCCGTCGCCTGGAATGAGGTCTCGGCACTTGAGGCGAGGCGGCCCCGCGAGTCGGATCGGGCCTGAATATCGCCACCTGCCTCCGACGACGTTCCGGGAAGGTCTGAGGTGAGAGAAACGGCCATTTTGAGGCACCGTCAACGGATCGCGCAGGTGGCGCTAGGAGGTTGGAGAACCGATCTGTGGTGTCCTACCTGCGTTTTACCTGCGTAACGGTCACTCTCACGCGCGCGCTCACCTGGCGAGGATCTGGGCGCGGATACGTACGAAGGTGTACTCTGCGAACGGATGTTGCTTTCTCACTGTCTCACTCTCTCTCTCTATCTTTACAACATAGATTTCTTTTTGTCGGATAAAAATAGTAATAAAATATTTTCAAGTCTATAAATTTTTTCTGAAATATCACACGTTTTAATATATTTGAATAATTTTAATATTTTTGTTTTTTTCATAATTTTAACTCTAACAATCCAACTACAAATCACAACAAGAGATAATCAAGATATTATATAAAAAATTACAAGAAAGAACAAAACGATAAGAGATAAATTTCTATGTGTTAAATTACCACATGTCTGAGTGATTTATTGATTGCATTGATCTATCTTAATTACAAAATATTATCTTTTACATTAGATTTCCAATTAGATACATTGTGATTGCGACAATACAAAAAGACTTCTTATTTATATCCAAAATACAAATGAAGCACAAATTGTGATCAAAGTTTCATGCAATAGGTATTATGTAATGACTTAATGTAATGACGTAGCATAGTGATTCGACAGATGTTGGAATAGATACACGCAAGGACGGATTACATGTAGTTAACGAAACTGTTGACAGAATTCAATATAGCGGACTATTTACTAGCTATGGTAATCGCGACTTATGAATCGTGAATTTGCAAAATTTGCATTAAACGCGCATTGAATGCTACTTATCCTTAAAACGAATTGCTCGCTTCCTCCGAGCCACCATTTCTAGGCAGAAAACGCAAGATCAGCGCACAAAAGCGCGTGTGTGCGCCTACACGCGTGCGTGAATGTTTCACATACGTGCGTGGGAAGCGATTTTACAACCAGTGATGCAATAGGAAGGTAACGAAAGATTACATATTACTCCAACGTTACTGAGAGATTCGTACGAACTCCGTCCGTTACACTCCATTTGATTCTAATGTTTGTGGGAGTCTATCTTTGTTTTATAAAAAAGGAAAGGAAAAAATCATAGATACGCAGATCTTTTTTTCCCACACATGAAACAGTCAATTGGATAATATTATAATGTAGATTAACAAACCTGCTTAATAGAGTTATATTGTATTTAATTGGGGCGTGATAGGCAAATAATACTTTCCTATGACCATCGTGAATTTTCACGGTGACACAGCAAGGTGTGCCAACAAATTTACCATGTAAATTTGCGGACTGGACATAAGTCAGCTACGCGACCAGTCAACTTTGCGCCGACATTCCGTTAGCATATGCCCACACGATTTGCATAATTACAGATTTCTTGGTGTTACATATTGAGAGATGTGTTGTCTATTTCTACCTCCTCCAAAAATCTTTTTATCTCTTAGGGGATAATAAGTTATTTTTAAATTAATTTTAAAGAAATTTTTTAGAATTTTAATCTGGATTTTATAGTGACTAGAACACTATCTTTTTTGGAAAATTGATTTGAGCATAAAAATGTTAAGAATTTTTTTGATATCTCGTAGGGTACTACCCAGAATTCTAAATAAAAAGCCGGAAATGCAAAAAAATCCATCCCTCCCAATACTTGGATATATCTTTATACGACATACAAAAAATTGTGCAAAACTGTCATGCAAAATTTAAAATCGTCTTTAATATACTCCATATCGCGATAGAAACGTCCCGCGGCGGTTATCAACGTTTTCGAGAAAAGTGTCGAAATAAACCCTAAACTACCGTAGAGCTTCTAAAGCGACGCCTGTTCTAACAAATCCAAACTACACGACAGATATATTTACGCGAACGGGGAGACTCGCGCCGACAAGGAACGGTGGCAACGATCCAGCGGTCGTGGTGTTACGGAAATAGATTTTCGGCGGCGAGATGCAACGCCCGCCAAGCGAATCGGAGAGGCCAGTATCGCGGTGACCAGTTCCCGAGGAAAACCGGAAGAATCGAAGCGCCGCCGAGGTGTCCCACATGAACGTGAGTGCCGATATCCGTCCCACGAGAGTGCAAGCCCCGCGGTGCTATCCTTCCTCGTGCATCGTTTCCTCCATTCGGTCGACACCTATTTGCGATTCTCGCCGACACTCGGGAGACCCTCCGTAACGGTTATTCCATACCGTCGTGTTATTGCCGTTTTTCCCCTTCGTCTAATAATTGAAAGAAGAGAGCTGCTCTCCCTTGCGATAAAGACAAGAACAGAGAGATGCGATTTGCTCTATATGTATCTGAGATAATCGAAAAATATAAAATCATAGCGATATCTTTTTTTTTCCAATAATAAAATTCGTCAACAATAAATGTCAAGAGTGAATCGATCGATTGAGTGCTTCATCTCAGACACTATACGGATAATCTAAATCGGTGCTCGCGTGGTGCATCAACTCCGGAATGCGCACGATGCGTTAGAAAATACACGCGTAGAATGTGCATATAACTTTGTCCGTGAGATCCAATACGGATCGCCACGAGTGCTTTTCGATTTTAAGACCGGATGAAATCGATTAAATTGCTTTCTGCACGCCTTGAATATCTTTTATCGTGCAAAGGATTACCAATTATTTATGCCATGCGATCGAACGCGTGTCGTAGAAAGCAACTATTAACATATATCTCTGTCCGTCTGTTTCTTTTCTATAAAAAATATCCATATTATATATCCATACTATTATATTATTATATTATAAAATAAATCCTCATAGAAAATCTTTGCATTCGAACACGATTTAATTGTGACAAAAAATTTATAGAATGAATATATAGTTTTAATATTTATAATTTCGAAATATTCTGTTTGCTAAAAATAAAAATAAATATTTATCTGGAAAATAATTATTTGTTGTATTGTTATATTCAAGTTTTTGCTTCGCGATTGTCAGTCTTGTAAAGCCGCATTTACGCAGTTATCTTCTCTATGCGGGTACCAGTCTATTTTCTCTAAAATGAGAAGTAACGTAACAAAAGAGATAAAGCGTAGAATTCTCACATCGCACATGCGGAAGGATACGTTGGTCAATTAACGCGTATGCGTTATCTGTAACTCGTGCTCCGACTGTCTGACAGTTGCCTCCGGTTTAAGAACTCTTATCGGGGTTGCACCTTGCATACTAATCATTATTCAATTATTCGTAACTATGCGTTATCGTGCATTATTGTGGGAAATGTGACGAAAACATAAGCGGATCTTCAAGTTGCATCGTGCTCTGGTTCTAAACACTATCGAAATGTCGCGAGACGTGTGGGAAAGAAGTTTTACGGATAGAAATTCTCTCTTGGATAAACTAAAAATTGGATGATTTCCAACTTGCGCATAGACGTGTGCAATTTCAGCGAGAAATAGTCTTGCGATGAACATTCAATTTACATTTATCTCTTTCCTCTTTTTATTTCGTCACGCTTTGAAACAAAATATATAAGGGTGGAAAGAAATAAAATTGTGTGGAAAGATTAAGAAAAAGATATTTATTTCTAACAGAGTATATAAAAATATAATAATCGCGCGTTGTGCACATATATTTGTTTAATTGCAACAAGATTCAACTATCAATTTCCTTTTCGATATCATAATATTATATTATGAAAAAATTTTAACAAGAGCATTATAAGATACAATTTGTACATCCCTCATGTGGATTTTCGTGGATTCATCGGGAATCCTGCGCTGCGCAAAATAGAAACAAAAACATCTGCGCTGCGCGAAGAGAACAGAGAAGTGAACGTTCTAAAGATATACAAACGGCTCTAATTCAAGAAACTAATTCTCATCTCGTCGCGTCTCTCAAGCAAAAGCTTCTCGGGACGTGGCTACGTTCGCAGTTTGCTTCGTTTGGCTAAGATTACATGCACAGACGTCTTCAATCGATCGAGCTCTCCGGTATAATAATAAAAAGCACGATAAGAGGAAGCGAGTAGGAGGAAGATGAGAAACTTTTAATAAATAAATGCAAGTTCGTAGAATATTTCTGAAGCCGATTTATATATTTGAATCCTCCGTTTCCTATTTAATTATCATTCCGTCAGAAATACGCTGAGAAATATCTCGAATTTAAATTCGTTATGAGACGCGTTCGATATTTCACGTAGGACGAAAGGTATCATCGTCGCTGTCACCCACGCGGAGAAAAATAGTGTCGCGCACACACACCACGCTGCTCAGCTTTATTTCTAGACGCGGAACACGCCGCTTTTTCCCGGCCGTAGAAATAGATCCCCGGTCGGTCCCAGCTTCCGGCGTTCTGGATCGCCGGTCTGACGTCACGCTTTCCCCGCGACGATGCCTACTTTGGGAAGAATTTATTACACGGCCGAGATTATTCGGAGACCTCGTAAGCGCGAGCCTACGAACTGCGATGACATCAATTCACACTTGGCACTGTTATGGCGGTAGAAGACTGCCAGGCTTCTTCGAAATCATCTAGGCTTCGAGATTTTTAGCTCGACGAAATACTCAACTCGGTTGTTTGCGCGCTTTATATTTTTATATGATTAGGCTCTTCGAAATATATTTACAACCATGATTTTTTAAATATTTAATAGCTGTACCTTATATGTTTTGCATGCATACGTTTGCGAATCTCGTAAAAAATATTAATTTTCTTTTTACAAAAAAATATTGCAACATTTTGAGTAATAAATGTGACAAAAATGCTTCTGAAATAAATTACTTTATCGTTTTGAAAAAAAATTGTTCACAAAATTTTGCTTTTATTTTCTAGAATCCGGGAGCTGAAAAATGGCGACCGATGGCCATATCAAATCCGTCCACCAAGTTGCGGATGGCGAGATCCATGCCCCATTGGGTTATGGTACGTTTTTCTCTTATTCAGTCATATTATATGTTTCCATCGATTGCTTCGATTTTTATAATTATTCCTTTTTCACGTTTGCCGAAATAATTTGCTCCGTGTAACCTATTTTTTTTATTTTATTCCTTTGCAACGAACAAATCAATTCGTTTGAATATCGATACAGCATTAATCTCTAAAGACGTATATATATATTTAAAAAAGGCGCAGCAGCAACAGCGAGAAACGGATCAGCAGCAACATCGACCCCCAACGCCCCCAAAAATTCCACCACCGTCGCTCTCGGGGGATTGTGGTGACCCCGACTACGAGATCATCGAGTTCCCGACCCAGAAACCACCCTCGACACCCCAGTGGAACGTCGGTAAGTGCGCCCTGTGCGGCACCGAGAACGTGTTTGCGCGATGCGACACGTGCCACGAGAACTTCTGCGAGGCCTGCGACGACATGAATCACAAGCATCCGAAGCGGAAGGGCCACGTTCGCAGGAGGATCCTGACCGACAACGCGTGCAGGAGCAGACCGCCGCTTCCCCCTAAAGGGGAGAACCTGTCGTATCCGCCGCCGGTGCCACCGCCGCGAAGACATCGCAAGGCCACTCAGGTAGGCTGCATCCTCGCCTGAAACTGCGTCCGTGAAATCTTGTTCCAGGCAAGATCGTTCGTGCGAGTCCTACCGCACGAATCCTACCCCAGCCAAGGATCCTCTCTCGGAAACCATTCGAGCTCGATGGAGATCGGGTTGCGACTGGCGAATTTCGACCATCGAGCTTTCCATCTCTCGGCGACTTTGGATCGCCGAGATTGGATCGGTTACTGACTCACGGAAGCTGTTTTATCGTCCTTTATCCAACCTCGTCTCCGTCGCGCCGGATGCTCGTCGAGTCGAAATGCTTTCCCCCTCCTGACGAACAAAATGCCACGATTTTTACGACGTGGTTACAACATAATGACGTAGCTTTTAACTCGAAACGTCACACCGAGGCAGCCGAGAGCTTTCTCATCGTCCTCTTGCGAGCTTCAAATAATCGTTAACGTGTTATTTTCTCTCTTTACATTTACTAGATTTTATTTTACGTTCAGACTTTATTGTACACATGTTATCGTTGTTTTTTAATACACCATGTTACCGCAAAACACTGATGCCGTATTCACTGAACCTGTTCTCTCTTTCAGTTTCATCGTTGACGTAATGACGCGGAAAAGACGGACGTGGCGCGTCGGCGCCGTCGTAATGTCAGACATTTGTCATGCCGTGTAATATCGGATCGTTTACCGCGAATGATTTCCGCGGGGTGCGGTGAATATGGCAGGTTACGGTGAACACGGTGAACACGTCGAACACGAATAGAATGAATATATAGTTTTAATATTTATAATTTCGAAATATTCTGTTTGCTAAAAATAAAAATAAATATTTATCTGGAAAATAATTATTTGTTGTATTGTTATATTCAAGTTTTTGCTTCGCGATTGTCAGTCTTGTAAAGCCGCATTTACGCAGTTATCTTCTCTATGCGGGTACCAGTCTATTTTCTCTAAAATGAGAAGTAACGTAACAAAAGAGATAAAGCGTAGAATTCTCACATCGCACATGCGGAAGGATACGTTGGTCAATTAACGCGTATGCGTTATCTGTAACTCGTGCTCCGACTGTCTGACAGTTGCCTCCGGTTTAAGAACTCTTATCGGGGTTGCACCTTGCATACTAATCATTATTCAATTATTCGTAACTATGCGTTATCGTGCATTATTGTGGGAAATGTGACGAAAACATAAGCGGATCTTCAAGTTGCATCGTGCTCTGGTTCTAAACACTATCGAAATGTCGCGAGACGTGTGGGAAAGAAGTTTTACGGATAGAAATTCTCTCTTGGATAAACTAAAAATTGGATGATTTCCAACTTGCGCATAGACGTGTGCAATTTCAGCGAGAAATAGTCTTGCGATGAACATTCAATTTACATTTATCTCTTTCCTCTTTTTATTTCGTCACGCTTTGAAACAAAATATATAAGGGTGGAAAGAAATAAAATTGTGTGGAAAGATTAAAAAAAAGATATTTATTTCTAACAGAGTATATAAAAATATAATAATCGCGCGTTGTGCACATATATTTGTTTAATTGCAACAAGATTCAACTATCAATTTCCTTTTCGATATCATAATATTATATTATGAAAAAATTTTAACAAGAGCATTATAAGATACAATTTGTACATCCCTCATGTGGATTTTCGTGGATTCATCGGGAATCCTGCGCTGCGCAAAATAGAAACAAAAACATCTGCGCTGCGCGAAGAGAACAGAGAAGTGAACGTTCTAAAGATATACAAACGGCTCTAATTCAAGAAACTAATTCTCATCTCGTCGCGTCTCTCAAGCAAAAGCTTCTCGGGACGTGGCTACGTTCGCAGTTTGCTTCGTTTGGCTAAGATTACATGCACAGACGTCTTCAATCGATCGAGCTCTCCGGTATAATAATAAAAAGCACGATAAGAGGAAGCGAGTAGGAGGAAGATGAGAAACTTTTAATAAATAAATGCAAGTTCGTAGAATATTTCTGAAGCCGATTTATATATTTGAATCCTCCGTTTCCTATTTAATTATCATTCCGTCAGAAATACGCTGAGAAATATCTCGAATTTAAATTCGTTATGAGACGCGTTCGATATTTCACGTAGGACGAAAGGTATCATCGTCGCTGTCACCCACGCGGAGAAAAATAGTGTCGCGCACACACACCACGCTGCTCAGCTTTATTTCTAGACGCGGAACACGCCGCTTTTTCCCGGCCGTAGAAATAGATCCCCGGTCGGTCCCAGCTTCCGGCGTTCTGGATCGCCGGTCTGACGTCACGCTTTCCCCGCGACGATGCCTACTTTGGGAAGAATTTATTACACGGCCGAGATTATTCGGAGACCTCGTAAGCGCGAGCCTACGAACTGCGATGACATCAATTCACACTTGGCACTGTTATGGCGGTAGAAGACTGCCAGGCTTCTTCGAAATCATCTAGGCTTCGAGATTTTTAGCTCGACGAAATACTCAACTCGGTTGTTTGCGCGCTTTATATTTTTATATGATTAGGCTCTTCGAAATCTATTTACAACCATGATTTTTTAAATATTTAATAGCTGTACCTTATATGTTTTGCATGCATACGTTTGCGAATCTCGTAAAAAATATTAATTTTCTTTTTACAAAAAAATATTGCAACATTTTGAGTAATAAATGTGACAAAAATGCTTCTGAAATAAATTACTTTATCGTTTTGAAACAAAATTGTTCACAAAATTTTGCTTTTATTTTCTAGAATCCGGGAGCTGAAAAATGGCGACCGATGGCCATATCAAATCCGTCCACCAAGTTGCGGATGGCGAGATCCATGCCCCATTGGGTTATGGTACGTTTTTCTCTTATTCAGTCATATTATATGTTTCCATCGATTGCTTCGATTTTTATAATTATTCCTTTTTCACGTTTGCCGAAATAATTTGCTCCGTGTAACCTATTTTTTTTATTTTATTCCTTTGCAACGAACAAATCAATTCGTTTGAATATCGATACAGCATTAATCTCTAAAGACGTATATATATATTTAAAAAAGGCGCAGCAGCAACAGCGAGAAACGGATCAGCAGCAACATCGACCCCCAACGCCCCCAAAAATTCCACCACCGTCGCTCTCGGGGGATTGTGGTGACCCCGACTACGAGATCATCGAGTTCCCGACCCAGAAACCACCCTCGACACCCCAGTGGAACGTCGGTAAGTGCGCCCTGTGCGGCACCGAGAACGTGTTTGCGCGATGCGACACGTGCCACGAGAACTTCTGCGAGGCCTGCGACGACATGAATCACAAGCATCCGAAGCGGAAGGGCCACGTTCGCAGGAGGATCCTGACCGACAACGCGTGCAGGAGCAGACCGCCGCTTCCCCCTAAAGGGGAGAACCTGTCGTATCCGCCGCCGGTGCCACCGCCGCGAAGACATCGCAAGGCCACTCAGGTAGGCTGCATCCTCGCCTGAAACTGCGTCCGTGAAATCTTGTTCCAGGCAAGATCGTTCGTGCGAGTCCTACCGCACGAATCCTACCCCAGCCAAGGATCCTCTCTCGGAAACCATTCGAGCTCGATGGAGATCGGGTTGCGACTGGCGAATTTCGACCATCGAGCTTTCCATCTCTCGGCGACTTTGGATCGCCGAGATTGGATCGGTTACTGACTCACGGAAGCTGTTTTATCGTCCTTTATCCAACCTCGTCTCCGTCGCGCCGGATGCTCGTCGAGTCGAAATGCTTTCCCCCTCCTGACGAACAAAATGCCACGATTTTTACGACGTGGTTACAACATAATGACGTAGCTTTTAACTCGAAACGTCACACCGAGGCAGCCGAGAGCTTTCTCATCGTCCTCTTGCGAGCTTCAAATAATCGTTAACGTGTTATTTTCTCTCTTTACATTTACTAGATTTTATTTTACGTTCAGACTTTATTGTACACATGTTATCGTTGTTTTTTAATACACCATGTTACCGCAAAACACTGATGCCGTATTCACTGAACCTGTTCTCTCTTTCAGTTTCATCGTTGACGTAATGACGCGGAAAAGACGGACGTGGCGCGTCGGCGCCGTCGTAATGTCAGACATTTGTCATGCCGTGTAATATCGGATCGTTTACCGCGAATGATTTCCGCGGGGTGCGGTGAATATGGCAGGTTACGGTGAACACGGTGAACACGTCGAACACGATCATTCTCGCACACGATCACGATTCTTTATCGACGACGCATCAATCCGTATTTTCTGTGCACACCGTTACAGATACCATCCTGACTGATTTTCACACTCGGTGTATCGATTTCTTTTCAGCATGTACGTACTAGACGGACTGGATCATCCATAGCTGTGAACCTGCCATGTCCAAAATAATAATTTCACGACGTTTGACTTACAAGATTTTTGTTTGTAATATTTTTTACGCAAGTCTCTGTTTATATGTATTTATTTATTTATTTTTATATTTTTTGAGAGGAGAATCTGTGTTTTTCTAGAGATGTGATTTCTTTTCCATCACAGTCACGATTAACCATATATTTGACGTTTTTCTTTTTTAATGATATATCAGCGCAGTTTCGCATATGAACATCTACAGTCCTCGACAACACCCCGAGCGCTGTTCCTTCATTCACGATATTCACGTAATTAAGTCCAAGTTTCGCGCTTAGGCTAAGTCGGCGCTAGCCAAAGGCTCTATACATCTCCCTTTGCTCGACAAGGTCGGGAGCTTGAAGCGCAACCTTGCCAACCCGAAAGCACCGCCGGATTCAAGAATATCGAAATCTACGAATACTTTAAACTCGTCCACCAATGATACTTCAGGATCAGGAACGGACAAAATGACTACTCTACAAGTAAGAAGTTACATAGATTTTTCTTAATTGTTAAAGAAAACAAATTGCCTTTACATTAAAAACATTGAATTTAGGATATATTTCTATGAAATTATAACGATTAAATGCATTTCATCAAATGGATAAGATAATTGCAGAATCAAATAATAAATATTTGTATAGATTTAATTATTCATTAATTAATTCGCAAAAATAAACTTTTAATTTTTATTCGATAATTATTCGAATGATAAAAATGTCTCATTTTTATGCACTGAAAATTTTAGATACGGATATTTCTTTTTGCTACCATTTGCATCATATTATGATTTAGTGATTAAAATTGTGTATCAAAAACTGAACTATTTTCAGGAAAGATACAGAAAATACCAGGAGGCGATGAGAGCTCAAGACGCAAACAGGCGACGACATCCGTCTTCGGACACCTCGAGGGATACTTTGAGCGGAAGACCACTTAGCTTAGGCAGCTCGAAACCGGCACCACCGCTCCCACCTCCGCCTCCACCTAGAGCTATGATACAATCGGCCAGCGTTTGCGATTTAACCGCTGCTCACATGTGGAATCCGGGAATGCATCAGGTATATTTGATATTCTCGAACAAGTGTTTTGTGTTTTCATTTTTATTATATTAATTTTTTGTTTCTGATTAATCATCAATTTTAATCAAACAAACAAAGTAGAATAATTAAAAAATACGCCAAAAATATAAATATAATATAATTCTGGATTAACTGGTTAATATTTTAATGTTTTAATGAGTTATACAAACTGAAATAGATATATTTAGAAATAGAATATTCTTGAGAAAAATTCGTTTTATGTAATGGTGAAATAATGATATTTTTTTAAATAAAATAAAATATTATATATAAATAAAATCATTTTTCAGGCCCAGTCAATGGCACATTTAGGACCCGGCGGCATGCCGATGATGTGGTACCCGCCGACCAACTCCTGGGACGTATCGATGAGCGGTTCCACCGTGAGTCTGCATCATCCAAGCATGTGGGGATATCCCATGGGTTATCCGTCGGCACAGATGCTGCCTCCGCATTATCCGGGATCTCTTTCTAGAGCGCATAGTCCGGCTAGAAGTATTAAATCCAGTAGAAGATCGAGGCAGCCATCACCATCCCCCAGTCTGAAATCTAAAAAGTCCTACGCTTCAAGATCACGATCGAGAAGATCACCCGGATCACCATCGGACGCGAGCTCCGAAAACTCCGATGAGTCTGATATAGACGACAGACTCTCCCGAGGGTCCAGGAGTAGACGCGGCAGTGTATCCAGAAGCATACGACAACGAAACTATCACGACGACGATACCAGAAGTCTCATGTCTAGAAGTCGACGAGAGTAAGTTAAAAAAGAGAAATTAAATAAAAATTACATATTTTTTGAAATATCCATTTTAATTTTATTTAATTAATTAAATGTTTTTCTAAAGATTTTACATAAATATTTTATTGATATTATTAAAACTATCATTTTATAAATACTCGAGAGTAAAATTCAGAAAGCAAAGAGTTTCTATAAAATTTCATGTTTAAATGAAATAAATTTAAATAGACATTGAAAAACATTTTACAAACAATTCTATCGATATAAATCGTTTATACTGCCGTGTTTTGACAATAAAATTTTGAAATTTTTCCATTTCCAAACTTTGTTAGTAAAAATACTTATATACACTAACATATATCCTACTTTTCTTCTCTAGAATGATTAATTTTTTATGATTTTGTAGAATCTCTCTCTTAATTTCTGCTAAATATAGACTTAGTTTTATTAATATTTAAGCTTGCAATCATACACGTTCACTTTTCGATTTTTCAGGAGATTAATGTCCGAGGAGAGAGTAATGAGTACTGAGGATCAATGGTCTGAGAGTCCATCTAGTAAACAATACTCGACGCCTTCGAGAAGCTACGACGTTCGCTCGGTTTCCAAAATAGATCGACTGGAACGCGTACAAAACGGAACTTATCGCGATCGTCGAAGACGAAGCACCGACGACGAGTCCTCCGATCGAAAGATCAACGCGCCGAGCCGAACGCGAGTGACGAGCTCGTCCAACGACCAGTTCGAGAGAGGGGAGAATGCATTAAAGAGAGCGTCGTCCCTTCGTAGGGACATAATGCTGGATGATCATCGTCGCGATTCTCGTAGATCATCCTTCGAGAGTGACGGTCAGGCTAGGAAGACACCTTCTCGAGATGTGACCTCTCCAAAGAGGATACCTGGAGAACGAACGCGCCTTTTGGAGAGACAGACTTCTCAAGGAGATCCAGATAGAGACAGGAATCGCACAAACAAGGATGAAATCGAATCACGCTCAGCGAGAAGAGAACAGCAGGTCCGTGACATCTCGCGAGAGCGCGAAATCCGTAGATCTTCGCTTGAATCCGACAGTCAAGGTCTTAGAAAAACATTTTCCAACGAAACACCGATAAAAAAACACGAGGAAAAGACGACCGGTGATCTTCAAGATCGCCAGCGATCGATCGAGAAGAGTCAACAGCTCAAGGATTCCATACGGACCGCAGAAGCTCAACAGCAGAGACAAGATAGCGATATAAAACAGCAGCAGCAGCACTTGCAGCAGCCGCAGCAGCCGCTACTGCGAAGATCTCAATCCCGAGAGGATCCAAAGACGGCAAAAAGAGACGCGGTCGAAAATGCATCATCCAAGAAGATCGCTTCCAACGAGACGATCGGCTTGATGGAAATCCCGAAGGAGGAGTGGGCCTGCGAGCACTGTACCTTCATCAATAAGATCAACGATCGCGTCTGCGTGGTCTGCTGCAAAACCAAGAGTAGCGCGTTACCACCGACCACCCCGAACGACGATCCAGTCGAGTTGCAAGCGCCGAAAAGTGAAGCGTTGAGCAAGATCGGCGATCCCGGTCCCGATCTCGAGAAGCGGATCAATTTGTTAAAGATCTCTAACAGCGAAGAAAGCGGCGACAACGGATCCGTCAAGAACAAAGGTAGACCGAAGCGCAAAATCAGCTTTTCCTTCGGTACCAAGTTATCCAAGTGACGTTTCCGGGATCCATGCTCGTTCTCCCTCTTGCCTCTCCCCCCTCTCCCCCCGCATATTCTCATCCAAAGAAATGCAAACAACCCAGATTATATTTGTACGTGTCTCTTCTTTTTTTTTTCTCTTTCCTTTTTTATACGCAAAGCAGTGCAGTCACGAACCACCTCTACAACTAGAGTCAACAGCTCAAGGATTCCATACGGACCGCAGAAGCTCAACAGCAGAGACAAGATAGCGATATAAAACAGCAGCAGCAGCACTTGCAGCAGCCGCAGCAGCCGCTACTGCGAAGATCTCAATCCCGAGAGGATCCAAAGACGGCAAAAAGAGACGCGGTCGAAAATGCATCATCCAAGAAGATCGCTTCCAACGAGACGATCGGCTTGATGGAAATCCCGAAGGAGGAGTGGGCCTGCGAGCACTGTACCTTCATCAATAAGATCAACGATCGCGTCTGCGTGGTCTGCTGCAAAACCAAGAGTAGCGCGTTACCACCGACCACCCCGAACGACGATCCAGTCGAGTTGCAAGCGCCGAAAAGTGAAGCGTTGAGCAAGATCGGCGATCCCGGTCCCGATCTCGAGAAGCGGATCAATTTGTTAAAGATCTCTAACAGCGAAGAAAGCGGCGACAACGGATCCGTCAAGAACAAAGGTAGACCGAAGCGCAAAATCAGCTTTTCCTTCGGTACCAAGTTATCCAAGTGACGTTTCCGGGATCCATGCTCGTTCTCCCTCTTGCCTCTCCCCCCTCTCCCCCCGCATATTCTCATCCAAAGAAATGCAAACAACCCAGATTATATTTGTACGTGTCTCTTCTTTTTTTTGTCTCTTTCCTTTTTTATACGCAAAGCAGTGCAGTCACGAACCACTCTACAACTGGTTGTTCTTCATCCTTCGATGTATTCCCTTGGATGAATAATAAAGAGACATGGAAACTGTTTTTCGTACAAGGCTACAACGGGACCAAATGCATAGTCGTATTTGAAATTCGGCCATCTATCGCGTTCATGTCTGAGGCACTATATTATTCATTCAAGTGATGCGACGGTTTCAAGCACGAGCGTGCATTTGGCATATGTTCCTTTATTCCGGGGCGAACCATCGATGGAAATCACTGCCAAAGCACTTGGCTCGGCGATATTAGAACGCGTCAACGCATAGATTTATTTATTTCAAGATAAACTAAAAATTTCACGCAACAATAAATTTTCTAAAGTTTTCTTGAAAAATTAATTGCCCAGCTGAAATTTTACATGTTAATTCTAAATTCAAATTATTATAATAATACAATGTTAAATTATTAATAATATTCGTAATGGTGCTGATTATATATGCAACATTAGCAGATTAATGGCTACATTAATTAAACAATATCTTGTACAAACAAAATATTTTTTTTGTGAAATTTTTCAACGGATTATTCATCATTCCTCTTTCATCTTTTTCTCGATTTCTAAAAATGAAATGAAAGCGTTATAAATGCGCTTTCTTGGATGACCTTGAGAATGATAATATAGTGAGAATGAAAATAAGTTGTTGGACACTTAGCAACAACTATCTGATCATTCAAACTCTACAAACTGTCTATTTAAAACTACAATTGTGTAAAATTATATAATAAAATAAAGTAACTTTTACACTAAATTATGAAAAAATTTTGTGATTTACAGATGCAATCGTTACAGACGATAATCCTCTCGTGGAGAATTCTGAAGCTACGATCACGGCCTTAGATTCGCGAGCAGAAGAAGTGTCATCGAAACTGGCGGACGCAGCATCATCGCCGATTGCTGAGAATTTGGCAGCAGCAGCACCATCACCATCAACGTTACCGTCTTCTTCGACTACAAATATCTCCAAAATAGATACGAACGCGACGCTGCGGGAGGAAAAGGCCACGCGAGGGAAACTTTTAAAGAGTCAATCGGTGTCTACGGGAACATCTCCTCCACCCCAGAATATCTCGACTCAAGTAAGTCTAAATATATCATCTAAAGTATACCATCTAAATAAAATAATATTTGCAATCGAAATATTCTATGAACGAATACGAACAAACAAATTTTATATAGATAGAAGATTACAAAAATAATATGTGTATAAAATATTTTAGACCTACGACTATCTCCCTGCGAAAGGGACTCTTGGAAGATCCGCATCAGTGGCAACGTCAAAAAGTTATCTGTATTACGATGACAGCGACGGAGAGGTGAGCGTAAGACTGTGAATGAATTAAAAAACGTAATTCAAGTTTAATTAAAATATTGAATAAGAGCAAAAGAAATGGATCAGTAATTTGATAAAACAAAAATGTCAATTAAACATATATATATATATATATATATATATATATATATATATATATATATATATATATATATATATATATATATATATATATATATATATATATATATATATATATATATATATATATATATATATATATATATATATATATATATATATATATATATATATATATATATATATATGTTTAATTGACATTTTTGTTTTATCAAATTATAATTAATTATATATACAATTATGTTTTCTATATTTATTTATGCATTTTATATTTACCATATTTATTTTATATTTATATAACAAATAAATTTTACATATATGAATTATAATGAATATTTGAAAGTGATGAATAAGATATAAGATGTATAGGTATATATAAAGATTAGAAGACTTGTTGGATGCCGATCATCAAGTAAAATACTCTTTCAAAAGATGTCTTGTTTCCGCGTTCGATCTAGTAGCGCTCTAGTGAAAAGACAAGGCGGAGCGTCTGTTTCAGGAGCAAACCAGATTGGCGAACAGTCCCGATCTGTATCCGCGGATGTTCCAGGAACAGCAGCTGATGATATCCGGTCAGAGAAGCAGAGAACGGACCAGAAGAAACTCCATCGACTCGTCCCATCTCTATTATCGTTCCAGGGTAAACTCGCTTACAAGCCAAGCCTCACGGATTTTTCGTTGTATACCTTGTCGATTCTTAACTCAACCCAGTTGCAATAATTAGCCTCGGTGTGAACGTAGGCAGGATGATACTTTTATTTATTTATTTTTTTTTTTTAGCATAGTCCAACCAAGCTTAAATAGATGACTTATCGTGTATTTATCACGCTTATTCACAAAATGCGTTTTCAGCTACAACTAAATATAGTTCTAATATTAATCTAGACAAGCATTTAACAGCAAAGATAATCTACGACGGTGGAGCCTCTGCAGTTGTGACTAGCCATAAATTAAGTAACACCGTCTCTATAGTATCATCTCATTTTTTCGTCGATTTCAATAAAACGATCTCCAATAGCGGCAATTCCCGCATTTCAGGAATCCAGCCAACCGAGATATGCGGAAGCAGGTCCCAGTTCCGGCCAGCAAGGGGGAGTTTCCACGTTGACCCGTCAGGGATTGGAGATCGTGGAGCTCCTGCGAGAAGCCGAGAGGCAGGGATTCACCACCGATGACGTTCAGGTCGCGTTGGCGCAAGGCGCGCCGAATCCGATCGAGTGGCTTCACACGCAGTGGCCGCATCTGGTGGAGACGGTACGGGTCCTGGTGATCGCGCAGGGCAAGGAACTGAGGGAGAACAGCATCGGCGTCCTATCGCCGGCCGAGGCAAGAGAGGCTCTACGATCTGTCAAGGGCGACGTATGGAACGCTGTCGCGACGGCTATTCGGCGCAGACAGCAGAAGGTGCGTATAAAATGAGCACGCGCAGCTCTTTGATCGATAAGCGATCCGATGTGATCCCCTCTCGATTGTCGACAGTGCCAGCAGATTATGACGAAAGGAAACTTTGCGCTCGCGGACGTTGTTAGAGCTCTCGATAACAATGCCGGGATCGAGGACGCCGCTTTGCTCGAGCTGCAAAAGAATCAGCTCAAGCCCTTTTTAATGAGGATCTGGGGTCCTCCGGTCGGGGTGGAGAACGACGAGGCTGCACCGCACGAAGGTCAGTCGGATGCAGCCCTCGAAAGAAACTAATTATTTTTATTAATTTTTAAATTATTATTTTTATTAATTTTTAAATTATTATTTTTATTAATTTATTACGATTTCCAATATTTTTTTAGTATTACTTTAGATACATCAATATTATTTTATTTAATATTTTATCGCGCTGTTAAAGATATAAAAATGACTTTCGGATTATATTTTATATTAAATCTAGAATATATAATTTTTACTAATTATGATAATTTAATATTTATTATATACATAAAGTTCTCTATAAGCAAATCGCGATTTTCTCTGCGCGAAAAAAGCATCACTTCTTAACTTTTTATTAAGAAATAAGTAAAAATAATTGATCGTGCACCGATTTTTTCTTTTTTTGCTGCAGATGCAGCGAGTGCGGTCGGTGATGGGACGGGGGCGGGATCCGTGGAACAAGTTGAGAATGTGTCCGATACGGAGGCGCGGAAGCAGGTAATGTCACCAATTGTTGATCATTTCGTGGCGTTGCAGGCCGACTTTCAAAAGCAACTGGCGGCCCTCAGAGAACTGACCGATAACTGGCGACACGAGAAAGACCTCCCGAATAAACTGGGTAATAATAAGTCTGATAATCTGTACGACCGCGCTGACGTATAATTTTTACTAATTATGATAATTTAATATTTATTATATACATAAAGTTCTCTATAAGCAAATCGCGATTTTCTCTGCGCGAAAAAAGCATCACTTCTTAACTTTTTATTAAGAAATAAGTAAAAATAATTGATCGTGCACCGATTTTTTCTTTTTTTGCTGCAGATGCAGCGAGTGCGGTCGGTGATGGGACGGGGGCGGGATCCGTGGAACAAGTTGAGAATGTGTCCGATACGGAGGCGCGGAAGCAGGTAATGTCACCAATTGTTGATCATTTCGTGGCGTTGCAGGCCGACTTTCAAAAGCAACTGGCGGCCCTCAGAGAACTGACCGATAACTGGCGACACGAGAAAGACCTCCCGAATAAACTGGGTAATAATAAGTCTGATAATCTGTACGACCGCGCTGACGATGATAATAGCACTGTTCTAATCGATGCAAATCTGGTCCCAAGGGCCGTACAAGAAGCCCCCGATGTAGCGATGCCGGGCGATCTTGTTACGCGGCAAAGACAGGCAACCGTAGATTCGCGGGAAGGCTCGAAGCGCTCAAAGTTGAACGCTACGAAACCGTCCGACGAGGGCCTGGATCAAGTAGATGCCGCGTTGCACACCGAAATACCCGCGACAACGACGATAATCGATGATCTCGCGAGAGAGAACGCGACAGACTCGACACTCTCGCCCGAATACTCCTCGAGAAACGACACCGCCGACCGTTCGATCGGTGAAACCATTGTTGAAACCATTGTCGTACGAATGGCCGGATCATCCGATCCGCCAAAACTCGACGGCGACGTCGACGCAAAACGATCGCGCGAGGAAGCGAGCGAAACGCGACGCGTCGACCTCGACCTCGACGTTTCGACGATATCGATCGACGAAACGATAGAAACAGCGAAGCAAGTTTCACCGAAAGAAGTAGAACAGAGAGGATTATCGTCAAATGTTGAGGTTCAAGTATCCTCCTCCTCGCTTGGAATTTCTGCGCCCGACACAACGGATACGGAACCAGGTCAGTCCTCTTCTCCGCAAACTTGGAGTGCTCCCGAATTACTTAATATAACGGAACATGCTGCAAACAACGAGTCACTCGTCCAAGTTGGGAAGTCAACGGAATTGGACGAAACACTTCGCATCTCTTTCTGGGATTCGAGTGCTCCCCAACAAGAGGCCGATATGTCGCAGCAGCTGTCGCGGAATGATGTCTCAATCGCGGCGAGTGCATCCGGAAAGGATCTTTCCACGACAGAACGATCCGATCAACATGTCGCGAGGAAAGTTTCCGGGCAGAACGACGAGTCGTCGCAAGTCCTCGCGATGGAAGTTTTGATGTCAGCCGTGAGATCGCTGCCGGAGCAGTTTTTGACGCCCTTCATAACGGCGATGCAGGTCCTGTCGCCCAAGAAAGGTGATGCTGATGTAACGACCGCTGACGTACGATTTATGAACCAATTAAATACTTTACGCAGCATAAAGGTCGAAGAAACAGCCGAGGCTGAGACAAACATCGACGCTC